TGTTCTAACAAATATAACCTTAAATTTGTATCCATATACAAAATCCATATCTATATCAATTTAAAGTATTTAAAACTAGCAGTTGCTTTTTTGGTTTAAAAGTAGATTCAATAAACTACCTTTTATCCTATAATTTCTGTAACATGTATACAGTATAACAAAAATAATATTAAATTTGTATCAATAAACAAAAATCCAAGCCAATGTAAAATATTTAAAACTAGTAGTTACTTATTTGGTTTAAAAGTAGATTCAATAATTTACCCTATTATCCTATCATATCTTTTTTTTAATATTTATTTATTATTTATTATGTATACAGTAGTCTATCTGTATGTATGCCGAAGGCCAGAAGAGGGCACCAGACCTTATTACAGATGGTTGTGAGCCACCATGTGGTTGCTGGGAATTGAACTCAGGACCTTTGGAAGAGCAGGCAATGCTCTTAACCACTGAGCCATCTCTCCAGCCCTATCCTATCATATCTTTATCCCCCATTTTTCTTTTTAAAATGAGATCCCTGAATCTAATCTCCTTTGTTCAGTTTTTTTCCCTGGCCATTACCAATAACAACCTATTACCAACCCACCTAAATGACAGGAAATATTCATAACAAATTGGACAACCAAAAACCACCTGTTCCCACCTCTTGGGGAAAAGGGCATAATGTTCTTAAAATTGTTTCCTGTTGTCTTAGGCATCTTTAGGGGATCCTGAAAAAATTCTGCTTAATTGTCAAATCCTGGGAGAGCTAGCTATGTCAGTGGTTGTCCAGTCTCTGTGTAATGGGAAAATGTAGGACTTATCTCAAATCCTGGCTAGTGTAGTCTGTGAGGCTGGACCATCTTAGCTAGCCACCTTGAAATTGACCTAAGTAATTTGTAGTCCAAAGCCAATCTTTAGATGGTGTTTTTAAGTTTAGTGGTGTTACCACAATCCTGGTGGAATTGTCTTTGTGGGGCCCCATCGCCCTTTTGGATACTTCAAAGATCACTGTTAGGAATGGCATTGGTTTACTGTAGAAAACTTAAACATTTTAAATGTCATATGCAGAAGATCTCAAAAGGTTAAAGGATCGATATTTGTTATGTACATCCATGTAAACAGAAGTTTCTGTCCTGCCCAGTCAATAGCCATTCAGTCCCAAATAAACACACAGAGGCTTATATTAATTACAAACTGACCTGCAGGCCTACATGCAGACAGAACACTGTATACATAATTAATTAATTAATTAATTAAAAAAGAAAAAAAGAGCCAGTTCCAGTATAGGCTCCAAAGCTATAGAGGAAACCCTATCTTGACAAACAAACAAAAAGAAATAAAGAAAAAGAAAGAAAGAAAGAAAAGTCATAAATCAAGACCCTTTCTAAATACATTGGTAGAAACATCAGAGAGGTGAGTAACAGCAAAGCAGAGAACTGCGATAGGTCCCAGATGGGGTTGGTGAAAGCTGCTGCTAAGTTAAAGGTTTCAGAAGGTTTTACCTGATAGTCACAAAGCTGTTAGACCAGACCCAGAAGTGGAAAAGGAATAGCCAGTAATGGGCTAAAGATAGTCCTTGTAGGATGTGGGGATGTAATCGAGCCATACCCAGACTATCGTTATTGTAGGTTCAAGCACCCAAGAGATGGGTTCCAATTAATTTGCAAATTATGTTTGCTCTCATTATAAGGAGGTCTTGTCACACACGTGTGTTGGGAGTCCGTGTGACATATTAAAGCCTTTCTAAATCTCAGGGGTACAACCCACCCTGGATACACTGAAGGGAACCCATTTGGGATTTCAGGTAATTAGAAAAATGCTCCCCAAAACAGGTACAGAAGGGTGTGACTGAGCCGTTGGAGGAAGCAGCGTCATTCCCGTGGATGTCTGATTTACCAGTGTAGATACAATTGCCTGTATAACTGCTGGGTTATTTGGGACAGGTTTTTTTTTTTTTTTTTTTTT